TCAATATGCAATATTTAGATTGTCATGTAACAGAATAGCCATTCAAAAGAGGATACTATGAGAAAAAAATCTCTTTTTGTAGTTGATTTTAAATGACCAGAAGTTGACACCTTATTCTTTCAATCTTAATTTGCTGAATTCTAATGGTCTTTAGATTAATAATTAAATGTCCAATTTCTTGATCGATTTAATTTGTACATTTTTCCAGTTAAAAATAATTTATACTTAGAATGCATTAAGGTCTAAAATGAATTTTGAACCAAAATCTATGTCACTTATGATTATTTTAGATTACTAATATAGTAGAATTTTAAGAATTTTTTCTTTAACCAAATACTTTCCATAAAATATCTTTATAACACATCTGTCTTTTAAAAAAAGAAGAAAAGTCCCCATAAGAGTCCAGTGTAAAAACATTTATTTACATGGTCATGGTAAAGCTGTAATGGTTACATAAGTTATTTTCATCGGCATTGGAATACAATTTCTGTGCCCACAGTGGGGAAAGTATTATATCTGTGGGCATAATGGTAAAAACATAGATTAAAAAGGTAAAAAAGAAACACATGGAGAAAATGCGTCATAAGGACACAATTTTGGTGTGGAGAAATGAAAATGGTTTGGTCATTTCTAGTCAGAACCCCAATAACTTGCCAAAGATTTTCTCTAGTCAGATATTAGACAATTTTCCCCAAACTTAGCATTTGGTTTCCTAAACCAGTAATACTCTAAAATTCCTATGTGGAAATAAACAGACTATATGTATGCAGATTATATTGTAGGCCAGATTAGTTGGGGTGAAAAACTAGTTATTTATTATTTCATTTTTTTAATTAGTATATTTATCATTACATAATGTAATCAATTTGTGTGACCCTTTACCAATTTCTCGCTACCTCTCTTCCCCCTTCCCTCTTCCCCACCTCTGGTGGACTCAGTTTTGTTCTCTCCTTTTGAAATTTCAATGAATTATTATGACTGTTGTATCTTTCTTTCTTTTTTTGCTAATTTTTTTTTAGCTTCCACTTATGAGTGAGGACATGCAGTATTTCTCTTCCTGTGCCAGGCTTATTTCACTTACCATAATTTTTTCTAAGTTCATCCAATTTGCTGCAAATGGCAGAATTTCATTCCTTTTTATGGCAAAATAGTATTCCATTGTGTATATATATCACATATTTCCTTACCCAGTCATCCATCAATGAACATTTAGGTTGGTTCCAACTCTTGGCTATTGTAAACAGAGCTGCAATAAACAGGGGAGTGCAGGCATCCCTTCAACATGATGATTTCCATTCCTTTGGGCATACACCCAGCAATGGGATTGCTGGATCGTATGGCAGTTCTACCTGAGTTGTTTGAGGAACCTCCATACTGTTTTCCATAATGGCTGTACTAATTTCCAGTCCCACCAACAGTATAGGAGGGTCTCCTTTCTCCACATCCTCTCCAGCATTTGTTATTCTGTCTTTTTGATAAAGGCCAGTCTAACTAGAGTGAAATGGTATCTCAATGTGATTTTGATTTGCATTCCCCTGATGCTTAGTGATGTTGAGCATTTTTTCAGGTGTCTGTTCACCATTTGTATATATCTTCCTTTCAAAATGTTTATTCAGCTCCTTTGCCCGTTTTTTAATGGGGTTACTTGGTTTTTTACTGTTAAGTTGTTCGAGTTTCTTGTATATTGTGGATATTAATCCCTTGTTGTATGCACAGTTTATAAATATTTTCTCCCATTCTGTAGATTGACTTTTTGCTCTGTTAACTGTTTCTTCTGCTATGCAGAAGCTTTTTAGTTTGATATAATGCCACTTTATTTTTTCTTTTTTACTTGTGCTTTTGGGGTTGTGGTTATAAAGTCTTTGCCCACTCCTACTTCCTGAAGTATTTCCACTATGTCTTCTTTTAGTAGTTTTATAGTTTGGGGTCTTATGTATAAGTCTTCAATCCATTTTGAGTTGATTTTGGTATGTGGCAAGAGGGGTCTAGTTTCATTCATTTATATATGGATGTCCAGTTTTCCCATTAAAAGCAGACACTTATGCCAATGGAACAGAATAGAAAACGCAGAAATAAAAATCACATATTTACAGCCCACTGATATCTGACAAAGGGAACAGGAACATATATTGGGGGAAAAAACTAGTTATTTAATATCTCCATTGTGGTGACATGCTGGGGGAATACTCTGCTGTAGATTTCAGCATTTTTTTTTCTTAAACTGAACTCTGACTTCTATTAACTCTCCACAATGATTCAAAATTACACAGTATTGGTCTTTAACTTCTATGTGACCATTTCTGAGACACACAAAATCAAAAGATATGGAACATTAAAGAAAGGAAAATATGGGTTTGTTCAACAGTTTGCTGGTGGCTATCTTAGATCACTGCAAAATGAATTGATAAGTGACATAAAGACACTGATCTACAAAGCATTTTTGTAGCGTCCTATATATTGATATCCTATGTATTGATACTATATATTGAACAGCCTAAAGGTACAAAAACACTCTTGGAATTGATAAATGATTTCAGCAAAGTTGCAGGATACAAAATCAACACAGAAAAATCAGTAGCATTTCTATACTCCAACAGTGAGCATACACAAAAAGACATCAAGAAAGCTAGTCCATTTTCAATAGCCACCAAAAAAATAAGATACTTAGGAATAAAGTTAACCAAGGATGCGAAAAATCTCTACAAAGAGAACTACAAACCACTGTTAAGAGAAATTAATGAGGACACAAGAAGATGGAAAGATATCCCATGCTCTTGGATTGGAAGAATTAACATTGAGAAAATGTCCATATTACCCAAAGTGATCTACAGATTCAATGCAATCCCCATCAAACATCCAATGACATTTTCTCAGAAATGGAAAAAACTATCCAGAAATTTATATGGAATAATGAAAGAACACAAATAGCCAAAGCAACCCTGAGCAAAAAAAATACAGCTGGAGGCATAACACTACCTGAATTTAAAATATATTACAAAGCTACAATAACAAAAATAGCATGGTACTGGCATAAAAACAGACATACAGATCAATGGAATAGAACAGAGAATTCAGAAATCAACCCATACACCTAAGCCATCTGATCTTTGTCAAACACACCAAATCTACACACTGGGGAAGAGACGGCCTCTTCAGCAGATGGTGATGAGAAAACAGGATATTCATATATAGGAGAATGAAACTAGACCCATACCTCTCACCATATACCAAAATAAACTAAAAATGGATTAAAGAATTAAATATACATCCTTGAACAATAAAACTCCTTAAAGAAAACATAGGGGAAACATTCCAGGAAGTAGGAGTGGGTACAGACTTCATGAACACAACCCCAAAAGCACAGGGAACCAAAGCAAAAATAAACAAATGTGATTACATTAAACTAAAATGCTTTGCAAAGCAACAGAAACAATCAATAGAGTGAAAAGACAACTAACAGAATGGGAGAAAATATTTGCAAAATATACATCTGACAAAGGATTAATATCCAGAATATACAAGGAACTCAAACAACTTCACAGCAAAAAAATAAATAAAAAACCCAATTAAAAAATGGGTGAAGGAGCTGAATAGGCATTTCTCAGAGGAAGATATATGAATGGCCAACAGACACACGAAAAATGCTCAACATCACTCAGCATTCGGGAAATGCAAATCAAAACCATTCTGAGATACCATTTCACTCCAGTCAGGATGGCTAATATCCAAAAGACTGAGCATGATAAATGCTGACAAGGTTGTGAAGAAAAAGGAACTCTCATACACTGTTGGTGGGACTGCAAAATGGTGCAGCCTTTATGGAAAATGGTATGGAGTTTCCTCAAAAAATTACAGATAGATCTACCATATGACCCAGCTATTCCACTACTGGGAATATACACAGAGGAATGGAAATCATCATGCTGATGGAATACCTGTAATCCCAAATAAATAAATAAATAAATAAATAAATAAATAAATAAATAAATAAATAAATAAATAAATAAATAAATAAATAAATAAATAAATAAATAAATAAATATAAAAGTGGGGAGGAAGAAGACAGATGAGTGGATAAGGAAACTGTGGTATATCTATACAATGGAATACTACTCTGCTATAAAAAGAATGAAATACTACCATTCACAGCAACATGGATAGACTTAGAGAAAATTATATTAAATGAAACAAGTCAGGCACAGAGAGAAATACCACATGTTCTCACTTATTTGTGGGAGCAAAAATAAATAAATAAATAAATAAATAAATAAATAAATAAATAAATAAATAAATAAATAAATAAATAAATAAATAAATAAATAAATAAATAAATAAATAAATAAATAAATAAATAAATAAATAAATAAATAAATAAATAAATAAATAAATAAATAAATAAATAAATAAATAAATAAATAAATAAATAAATAAATAAATAAATAAATAAATAAATAAATAAATAAATAAATAAATAAATAAATAAATAAATAAATAAATAAATAAATAAATAAATAAATAAATAAATAAATAAATAAATAAATAAATAAATAAATAAATAAATAAATAAATAAATAAATAAATAAATAAATAAATAAATAAATAAATAAATAAATAAATAAATAAATAAATAAATAAATAAATAAATATAAAAGTGGGGAGGAAGAAGACACAACAATCACAATTCCTTAAACTTGTTAAGACAAGTGAACAGATATAATTATGATGGGGGGAGAGAGAAAGAGGGATGGGTAAAGGGACATGAAAATCAACTATACTGTATATTGAGAAATTAAAATTAAAAAACGAATAAATAAAAATAAACCAAATATATAAAATTAAATGAGAAAAAAATATGTGAAATCATCAAGCATAAGTCCTGGCATTCAATAGGTACTTAGGATATATTTAATGAATTTGAGTCATTATAAAATTATGATCTAATTTCAGACATGCTGTTGATCTATACAAAATGATAATTTTATTACTTTTTCTTTTATTACCTTGAATATCATCATTGAATGTGCAATACTGGTTTCGATACTTGCTGAGGAGACGAAATGCATTCATATTGGCAAAATCTTCAAACTGAATGAGGCAATTCATACCATACCTAGAGGACAAAAACACACTAATCACATTAGAAGAGGCTAATGAAACAATATTTAAAAACAAACCTTTAAAATTACCCCATAGAAAAGGCAAAGGATTTTCTTTTAAACGTCTTATTTTGCTATTTGGTATAAATATGTAATGCAATATCTGTGCAGCAAATATTTACTGCATGTTTACCACAGAAAAGGCATTGTGTTGGCACTGTGAAATTATACAAAATGACCAAAATATAGCCCCTATCATCAAGGAATTTAAAACAGAAATTTCTAGTAGAAACAAAAATATTTTGAAATAAATGAAAAGTAATATAAAAGTGGCATATAAACAAGCAACTATAGGAGTTCAGAGGACACATTCATTCTAGCTGGGGTCACAGACCAAGAAACAATGAACTGAGTTGTAACAGACAGTTATTATTTCAAAAGAAGAGATGTAGGATTTTACAAGCTGAGGACAGCAGAAGCAAAATGACTAAAGTGAGAAGAAAGAAAGAAAAAATTGTCTTAAAAAATAGCAAAAACCCCTCTTTGGCTATAATGTAGTGGTATATGTGAGGGTGTAGTAAAATATAAGGTCAGGCTCTGGTCAAGATGGTGGAATAGAAGGCCAAGTTGGGGCCGCTAGAGCTCAGGGGAAGAGAAGGAGAGACCTACGGAGTACATGAAGGTGGGAGAAGCCACAACGAGAAACTGCTCCGACCATTTCTTGCCACAGCCACTTTATGGCTGGAGCTGCTGAGTGCGCAGAGCAGGAGCCAGCAAAAGCAGCATCTGTGCCCTTCAGATGAAGTTGCTTGGTGGTAAAAGGGGAGAAGAGGGCATTGGTGGCCCCCAGGCCAGCAGTACTACCAACAGGGTTTCCGTGGACCCACGTAGGACCAAGGAGCCACAACAACTGAAAAAAAGGAGCCACTCAGAGGCTAGTGAGTCATCACAAGGGACCGGCACACAGCCCATCCCATGGGAAGTGTTTGGAGCATGGGTGGTGGGGGAGACAGGCCCACAGGGGGAACACTGGGGCACAGCAAGGACAGCTAATCTGCTCCCCAATCAATGCAGGACCACTCAGAGGAGACTGGTCAGGAATATAGAATTGCAAGGGGTGCAGTCTGATGAAAACACTTAGGCCCATACCAGTGTTTCTATACACCCCAGGTGCACCAGATTTCACCAGATCCCAAAGTACCTATAAAGTCAACCATTAAAACCTGAGCTGCACAAAAAGCCTTCCCTAGGGAATCAGCAGCAAAGCAGCAATTAGCTCAACCACATAAGCTCAAGTACTGGTCCCCACAGGGAATTCCCCCATTTTAGAAGTAAGCAAAGGACAACAAATTAGTTCCAGCACAGAGTTTGAGTGGTGGGAACAGCAAATAATCCAACACAGAACTGAAAGAAAAAACAAAGTACCCACAACCAGAGACAAAGTTTGATAACTAGTAAAAGACTCATTTCACCAAAGAATACCTGTAACACCTAGACGGACCTGAAGTCCCCTGGGCTACCAAGTCAGAAAGGGGGGAGGGCCAGGGGCCTCAGCCATGAACCCTGACACCAGCAACCAGTCCCGAGGATGGGGGTGGAAGGTCTCATCCACGCCCTTACCCCCCTCCCCCCTGCACGAGCAACCCGCCCAGTGATCACCACCGAGCCACTACAGGAGGCGCCCCAAGCTCTCCCGAGCCAGGGCAGCGGGAGGTGGGGGGGGGTATCGGCCACACCCCTCTCACACTCAACCAGCCCAGTGATGACCAGCAAGCCACAGCAAGAAGGGCCCCAGGTTCCTGAGCTGGGGTTGTGGGGGCGAGGGCTATTGCCACACCCCCTTGACATCTGCACCCAGCCTGGCAATAACCTAGCCACCACTGGAAGTCCACAGGTCTCCCCTGTGGGAATATGGGGAGTGCCACAGGCTTCAAATCCCACCCCTCCTCCTCCTCCCTCCTCCTTCCATCCCATTTCCTTCCCCTTTTCCCTCTCCCTCTCCCTCCCAACTGCTCTACAACAACATCATAGAATGTAAAAACTAATATTAATAATTTCTTTTTTTAAAGATAAGGCCAGGGCCGGCCTGGTGGCGCACTGGATAGTGCGCTGCTTGGGAAGCGCGGCGGCGCTCCCGCCCGAGGGTTCGGATCCCACATACAGACCGGTTCCCACTCACTGGCTGAGCGAGGCGCGGGAGCAACACCGAGGGTTGCGATCCCGTTGCCGGTCCCCGGTCCAGTGCAGGGGCAACACTGAGGGTTGCGATCCGTTGCCGGACATGGAAAAAAGACAAAAGACAAAAAAAAAAAAAAAAAAAGATAAGGCCAGATCTTCATTCTGGCCCTTCCATTACTCCTAATTCACTTGTTCTAGCTTCATCTCTATATGCCAAAGACAATTATTTCACAGCAGTCCACTGGCCATCTCCCTACACTACCCTGTCCCTTTGTTCTTCCTTACTCTGAATATCTCCCTCTCTCCACTAAGATAGAACATAAATCCATGCTATCAAATTTTAGCCAGGATCTCAATCAAGTCCTGCAATATTTGTTTTTGTCTATTACTGGTCCAAACATGGTTATCAAAGCAGCTGTCTTAGTCTGTTCAGGCTGCTGCAACAAAATACCTTAGACTAGGCAATTTATAAATAGAAATTTATTGCTCACAGTTCTGGAGGCTGGAAGTCCAAGATAAAGGTGCCAGTAGATTGTGTGTCTGGTGAGGACCCTTGTCTCATAGACAGCACCTTCTTGCTGCATCCTCACATGGCAAAAGGAACAAGTGAGCTCCCGTCAGTCTCTTTTATAAGGGCACTAATCCCAACCATGCGAGTGGCACACTCATGACAATCACGTTCCAAGAGACCTTGCCTCTTAATACTACCACACTGAGGAATTCAGTTTCAACATATGAATTTTAGAGGGACACAAACATTCAGACCATAGCAGTAGCTTTTACAAACCTTCCTTTACTCTCCTTGTCTCCCAAGCACTTAATCCCTTACCAGTCACTACCTGAGATCAATGCTAGAGCCAACAATTTAACCTTCTCAGCTCTCCACCACATTAAAAAATGTTTGTACTTCTCTTTTCTTCATCTGCTTGTGAGAAACATTCTTGATTCTTGGTTTATAATCTCTCTGCATCAGCTTTACCTCTCTATACTAACAGCTTCAAGTTCTCCTTCTCCACTGGTCCTTTCCTGTCTCCAAGAATTCTCAAGTCTCCTTGATTTTAAAACCAACTCCCCTGACCATGACAAAACCAAAGCCATGGTTAATTATCTTTCTGCCCCCTAATGACAAAGCTCTCAGAGGAGAGGGTGCTAAACCCTCCCCTCATTTCTCACTTCTTGTCAACATTGTGCCAATAATTCAAGGACATTCTCAAACCACCATCTCTCCACCCCCTGATATCACAATGCAGATGATCTTATGATCCAACAAAAAACTTTGTAAATCTGTTATTTTTCTTCCATTACAGTCATTTATTATTATTATTATTATTAAATATTTGCCATTGATGGACTTTTTAAAAATCACCATAAAATTCACAAGTAACTGATACTGAATTTTTTTATTAAAAGAAACAAGTTTATTTAATAATCTTCTTAAGCTTATTAAAAGAAGCTTGGCATCTTTTTGTATGTCTATTGGCCACTTGTAATTCTTTCTGAAGGATTATATATTTTTAGTTCATTTTTCTATTATTATAGTCCTTTTCTTTATTATTTCAAAAGAGCTCTTTATATATTAAGAATAGTACATTCTTTTATATATGTTGGAAATAGTTTTCCTAATGCAGTATACTATGTCATTAGTCATTTAGACAGTATTCCTACTCGTGAAGGATTATATATTTTTAGTTCATTTTTCTATTATTATAGTCCTTTTCTTTATTATTTCATAAGAGCTCTTTATATATTAAGAATAGTACATTCTGTTATATATGTTGGAAATAGTTTTCCTAATGCAGTATACTATGTCATTAGTCATTTAGACAGTATTCCTACTCGTTTTTACCCAGGGCATTTTAAATTTTTATGTAGTCAGATTTTTTGATCTTTTTATTTATAGTTTCTGCTTTTGATGGTATGCTTTTAGCAATGCTGACCACATACATTTATTTAAGCATTAATCAAACTTTCCTTTTAATGGTATTATGGACTTAGAAAATAGTTAACATCTAAATCTGGTATTACTTTTACTGTTAGGCCATAGATTTAAAAAAATACATAGATAAACATTTCTGTTTTCTATATAATTCACCCAATTATACCAGCACCATTTATTTAACATTCCATCCCTTCCTCTCTTCCCCTGTAATAATATATTATATTCTAATATACAGTAGGGTCTGTTTCTGTGCTTTTCTATTTTATTCTACTACTGCTAATGAAAACAAATATTTTTTCACTTTATAGGATATCTATATACACATACCCATTTATTCTTCACAACTGTTCTATGAAGGAAGTACTATCATAATCCTCATCTTATAAGTGAGGAAAAGGAACACAGACATACCATGTTGGTATTGCTTGGTAATGACAGTCAAACAGTACGATTAGTCTATTAATCTGTCTATCCAGAAAAAAATGCCTCCATATTTTAATTACTATAGTTTTCTAATAACTTTAATATTTAGTACCACTAGTCATCTTTTATTCTTTTTAACTATTTGTTTGACTGTGGTCATGGTTTAATACTGTGGAGTCAGAGCTCCTGGGATGAAATCTTGTCCTCTTCACTTCCTATGCATCCTTAACTGTTCTATGCTTCTGTTTTCCCATCAGAAAAAATGAGAATAATAATTACATATTATCATAAGGTTGTAATCAAGATTAAATGAATGGATAAATCAAAGTGCTCAAATAAATGATTGACACATAAGTATTGTACTCTATAATCACTAGGTATTTTTTTTATTATTTAAGAATAACAGCAGAAGCCATAGACAGTGAAATAATATCCTCAAAGGCCTAAGGGAAAATAACAGTCATTTTAGATAGTATATCTAGCAAAACAATTATTCAAGAGTAATCAGGAA